CCCCAAAACCCCAAAACCCCAAAACCCCAAAACCCCAAAACCCCAAAACCCCAAGTGGGTGGAGACGACATATATATTACAATTTCAAATAAATGGATGGTTGGACAAGATCTAATCTTCTCATATTCTTTCAAATATTCTCACCGTTTTGGTTCAATCAACAATGATTATTTTCTATCCTTGAAAACTCACAGAAAAATGACTAATTTTCAGCGAGTTTTTACCTTAGTCCTGAATTTCACCAGGCTCTAAACCCCGCACGGTATCTTATAAACAGTCTATTTTTCATTCCACCGAGCCTGGAGTTTCACTTCTTCTCTCTATCAAACCAAGAATTACCCCTTGTGATGACCAGTAGTTGCGAAAGAAGTAAAACCACGCCAGTAGTTCAGGGCTTCCCTAAAACCCTATGTTTTGTTGAATCTAAACTTTCCAACTATTTTATTCTTTCGACGTTAGGCCAAAAGATTTTTACTGTATAAATTTTGGCTCCGAAATTTTCTTGAGGGCCAAGCCCCTCAAGAAGTGGTCTGTAGCTAATATATATGTTCTTAAAACCTTTCCAAGCTAATCTAAGAATATTGGGAAGAGATTGATAAGTCAGCAATATTCTCACTGGTAAAGAAGAGTCTTTATTTCAAGTTTATTGAATAAATTAAGTTATCAGTGTATTTTTCGAAAAGGACTTAGAAATCGTGGAGGCTGTCTCCGATTATTTCTTCACATTCACGCTCATTCTCTTCCCAGAGCTGGTCAATAAGACACTCGTTATTCTGGTTATTGGAATTATTCGAGGAGTCATTGATTTCCATAGAGCCATGAGAGTCGATATTGGGAGAGCCATGACCCATAAATTCGGGATCTATTCCTAATCCATTCTCTCCTGGACCCTTGTTCTGGGGTCTGTCATAACAGCTGATGACAGTGCTCTTCTTCTCAGTCTCGTCCAAAGCTTTAGAAGTTTCATCTCAGACCTTTTTTGAATTATTTACTGGATCTCTGGCTACTTTACTATAGTTGGCTCTTTCATATTCGGTGATCCCTTGCGCGTGGAAATTCATAGGAACAAAGTTTGAGTCCAAAAGAGACTGGCTAGTGCCATGGACTCCGAAATCAGGTGAAAACACCTGGGAGAAATGTTTCTCTTTTTCAAGTTGGATGCCAACATTCTTCAAGTCTTCCTTTCTTCTTCTTTTATTTTGAATGATTCTTCTCTTACTGGATAAGATTTCATCGTAGCTCCTCATATCGACCAAGGACAATCTTTTTGAACCACAGAGTCTAGTCTTCACTCTTTTTGATGGAATTTTAGCGGTAAGATAAGTCTTTAAGCTAAACCTCTTCATTTGAGGTCTCTTAGGATGCCTTAAAAAGGCGTCCTGCTGAACCCTCTGTTGAGGAATCCTATTCCTAGGCTCCACAAATCTGTGTGGACTAACTGGCTGGGATTTGATGGGAGGGTGCTCGATGTAAGTCTGTATATTAAGTTTGATAAAAACTTACTTGTTCCAAGAACAAATCGTCTTCGTTGTAGTTCTGTTGGTATGCAGCTCTTCTCTTAGGTCTAATACTCATTTTACTTATATTTTCCTATATATTATTAAAATATTTAACTTATTGGCATTATTATTTGGGGTTTTGGGGTTTTGGGGTTTTGGGGTTTTGGGGTTTTGGGG